AAATATAGACTAATTTTTTCAAATATATATGTTGGTAATTACAAATTTTTTGACATAATAAAGATAGATCAGTCAAATATCGCTGTATTTCTAATATTGTTAAGTCACCTTGAAATAACTAAGTGAATAACAAAAAAATGTTCGTTATTTCAATGTTACAAATATCACCACATGCATGTAGTAATGGTGAATTTGTAGTCACTTTAAAGAAAAAGCGTTAATAAATATATCTGCATGCATTTTTTTTTCATTATTTAATTTATTAATTTAATATCAAAATTGTAAGTTATGATTTTAAGTCCATCCTCTTATCTCTTATACATTTTTGTAACAGGAGTTTAACGAAAAGCTAATTTCATATTTTCTCCACGTTTTACGGCTTGTAGTTGCGAAAATGTGAATCTCCCGTTTCGTCCGAGTCTGTTGGCAATTTTATTTAAAACATAATACCAATCTACGGGATCAATCTACGGAATCTTAGATGAATTTTAATACTACGGAAAAGTAGTAAGCACTAACAAAAATTTGTGCGTTCATCCTACTAACATTTCTGTTGACTTCATCTCAAAATTTATAAAATAGGATATAGGTGGGTAAATAGGTATAAAAAAATAAAATAAAATTTTGAGGTTGATATAAATATGCTAAATCGCTAACTAAAATTGGTGTATTTGCACCAAAAACAAAATTTAGATAAATAAATCTTAATTAAAATATGTAAAATATTATGGTGTCTATAATTGTAGTTTATGAGTGCACCCATATCTATATATGCATCAGATAGTATAATAAAGAAACTATGTACCTAAGTATTTCGCTTTAATAGGTCTGATGGTTTGAAACGTTATATGCTACGCACTTTACCCGCGTTTTCGAATAGGTCACGCACTAGTAGATGTGTGTGTACTAGTTCTGTTTTTGTGCCTTTTACTAACACGTGTACTTTCTGATTTTACTGATTTCTGGTTTTAGATTGTATTTGTACTGTATTGTATGACTAATTGACTACATAGGTATGTATCATGGGGACAAAGCCCCTTCGCAAAAATCCTATTTAAAATATGCAAAATAATATGATTTTACATATGTGATTTACCAATCCATTTATATTTCTTATTTTAACATAAAATAATAAAATTACCAGAATAAATTTTTATAATTTAACCAATAAGAAACTGAACTTCTTTGATTGTGTTTCAGAGGTATGCGAAAGGCTGTGTAACTAATTTTAGAACATTTTTTTATTAAAAGTTACAGATAGGCAAAAGGACACCCTCTGAAAATGAAATAATCAATTTCCAAAAACAAAATTCCCATTTTTTTTTTCATTAAAACCTAATAATAATCTTTAACATCAACAGTCGGGATTAGTTTGTTCTACTCTCCTAGTATTATTTTTTTTTATAATTTTGCGTTCATTTGCTTTCGAAATAATAGGCAGGTACTCTCAAGAACATCTTCATATGCCGTGAACTACATCCAAAGCTGTGATCCAAAGTAACAGGATTCGCATAAGAGCATGACGGCGACGAATTGTAACTGCAACCCAACAAACGTTTTTCTGCATTTTAAAATTATTTAAAAAATATGAACCACTACACCATTGCTGGTTTCATAAATATTGTATATTATAGAGTGCTTTCTATAGTTACATGACAGAAAAACAACATGACATAATAATAAACAAATTCTATTATATCTTATATCTACATTAAATTTTGCTATTCTAATTTTCAAATTAAAAAAATGAGAAGTGTAACTAACGAACAAATACTCGAAATGTGTATCCTTTCTTCATAAAATTACTAGCAACCTGTTTAATAAAGATTGTGAAACACGTATCGATAACTCAGGAATTATTTCAGTACCTGCATCTATTTTGTTTCTGGCTTCCTAAATACATCTCACGACCATTAACTGGTATTCGACAAACTTGTTTTTTACTATGTAAAGATTACGTGGGGGTCATATATTAATATTCCCTGCTCCCCTGCTGATCCAGTTTTTACCTAAGCTTTCACTGCGGTACCTTCCTTCTAACATTCCATTCAAAACAGAGTTTCTTCACGCTTTGAAGTCGTAGGCGATCCACAGTGGAAAATGAGACTTCTTCCGAGGAGAATACTTGAATCAAATTGTAAAAAATGGAAAATTAAACGACCGCTAGTTTATACAAAAATTTTTCCTTGTCTCTAAACAAGATGCAAGACATGAAAAAATTTCTTCATTATAATTCTTGATAAATATAAGGTTATAAAAACTGTTTAGAATTTGCAAAACATTTAATCGACAGTATATCGTGGAAGAAGAATGTAATTATTAATTAGAAACTTCGACTGTATTTTTTTTTATTTTCTCCAAAAATTAAAGTTTTATTAACTTTTTCATTTTTGTACATTCATTATTATAAAAAGAAAAAAAAAGAAATGTCATTTCTAATTGAAATAAATATTAAAATTGAAAAGCATTGTCTGCGAAAAATGTATGTATGTAAACGTCGACACCATATTACAATTTAACTTTAAAATTGCAAAACTGAATATTCTGAAACCGTGAAAACGCTCGGAAACATAGTAAATCGTTAATTAAAATTTATCCGTTTATGACCTCCCCCCTAGAAATTGATGACGTCATCTCAAAATTTACATTAGTAATTATTATTTAAATTTTATAAAATAAGATACTCGTGCACATCGGGTTTATGAACCCGTGTTGAGTTTTTACCCTAGACGTTTAGATTTTGGGGCAAAAAATTTAAATTATATAACAATAATTTACAATTTAACTTTGAAATTGCAAAAACCTCATTCTGCGAAATCTTGCAAATATTTAAAGCTTATTGGAAGCATTGTAAATCGATGCCGAATAAATATTCTTCAAATATGTATATGAGTGCTTTTTGGAAAAACACAGGGTGTGGTTAATTAATTAGTCCTCTCTTCTACGTTGAAGCGACAAAGTTAATCAAATTTTATATTTTTTTAAAGAAGCGGGATTTGTCGGACTATACGTCTGTCGAAATAACCTCCGAGCAATTTTTTCACTAGTAACATGATAATTATCTGAAATGAAAATTCATCGTACATTAGCGAATCTACAACAAAATTGTACATTTGATAATTTACCTTCAATCCGCGGATATCCCATCACAAATTTTCCATATGGTGTAAAGTAGCGCATATTTTAAAATAATTTTATTAATTGTGTTAAATATACCTTAATTAAAACTACAACAATGACAAACATATTGATCGAAGGTTATTTCAAAAGAACTTCCCTCGCCGCGCAAGTACATACGGCCTAACAAATCCCGCTTCTTTGAAAAATTATAAAATCTAATGTGGAAAATTTTATTTGTAGCCGCTATACATTAAAAAATATAGATAATGGCAGTGACTGTGAATATAAAAAGGCCTATGAGAGTGTCGAAAGCACAACGTTCGGGTTGTTACAGATTCGAAGTCGCCCACGGTGATCACTGCGCTTTCGAATACCATTGCGCGACCTGCGATATCAGTAGAAAAGGCTCGCATACAGTTTCGATATTTTGCGAAAATTTAGATACCTCAGAAAAAACCACGGGGGGATTCAGTAACTACGAGTAGAGGAGTATTTTATTTTATAAAATTTAAATCGTATTTGCTACACAAACTTTTGTAGGGCTAGCATCACGTTGTTGGTTGGGATGATTAGGGACATTTTGCTTAGTATTTTACCTTCTAGACGATGTTTCTAAAATACATATAAAATTTGACAAGAATTGGTCTAGTAGTTTTGGAGCTTATATGTGTAAAAAGAATCGACACATATAGGCAGACGACAGACAGACTGAAAAGGGAGACCTATTTTTATACTCTAAGGGTCATGAAACGTCGAGAAAATATAAAAGCAGCCAACGAAAATTGTATTCTTTATTAGACTTAATTGACTTTAAATTTTAAAAGTCACTTAATACTTTGTGGAAAATTGAAATTTTTTTCTTCTCCTGAAAAGCATGAAAATCCACATTTGTTAGTTTAATATGGTGCCGACGATGTGTGAAAGCTTGTAGTAGCCATTTACTTAAGTCAATTTTCCTCAAATGATACAATTTTTTTTTTCATTTTCTTACGAACTAATGAACCATTTCCTTAACAACCTATTAACTAAATTTGAAATATTCCATCTTTAAAGAAAAGTGGTTTTGTTCCTTGATTTTTTTAAGTACACCTATCAATATTTTATCAGAAATAACCTCTTACCAAATTATATATAATATAGTAGAGAAAAGTTAAAACATTTCCGAAAAAAAAAAACAACTTCGCTGCGTAAGAATAAGTTTTCGTATGTGTAGCTAGGGAAAAGAATACGTAAAGTATATTAAAACATAAAGTTATTCAGTTCAGTTATACCGAAATTTATATACATATATGTCTACATTGATTACACGTTTTACCAAGCGCTTTCTTTTTAAGTTCTGTGTATTAGTTTACTTACAACAGTGGGTCGTCAAACCGTCATAAAAATTAGTGAAAGTCCATAGACGCTTGGGGCACACTACGCACTGTATCTCAGATTAAATAGTACTTCAGGGTGATTCCATTTTCCGTTCGTTTTTAAATGTGACCTATTGTGGAACTCGTCTGGGGTAAACTGTTCCTTGTATTTGATATTTAGGGTGATTAAATCTAAAGAAAAATTATGTCATGGTATACATTCTAAGTGGAGTGACTCAACAAAATTTTCAATAACGTCATCGATGTGTTGAAGAAGATGAACGAACCTCTTCCGTCAGCATTTTACCATCTAGACAATAATCTCAACAATCACTTGCGAATTAGAATATAGTAATAGTAGTATTAATATAGCTTAACGATATGAATCTATAACGGATTAATAGAAGCTCTAAAATATTATTAAAATCAACAACGTACATACAAAATATTCATAATTAATATCATTCTAAACTAAGTATAAGTAGGCGGATTTTACGTTTTCAAAAATCATAGCGTTAACAGAAATGACATTTATAAGTATTTTTCTTTGACTATCTTCGGCGATACAAATTAGAGGTTAAAGTTTAAAAAATATGTAAATTTTGTACTCAATCATCAAAAAATATGAGGATCCCATACAAAATTAATAAAAACACGTACGATACATACCAACCTTCTCCAGCAAGCTTAGCTCTTGTGGCCGAAAATGAAAGACAAATTGTCGCAGAAAATTTCGAGTGGGATAAAAAGCACTGTCCATCATTAATTACTTTATGTGTTGAAGCAATTAACTCAAAGTTTGCTACCAAACCACTGCTGAATGAATTGCCCTGTCAAGATCGTGATTACTTGTTGGAAATTCTAGATGTGGACTTACCATTAGAACTCGTAGTTCCTCTCATTGAAGTAAAAATGTTCTACTATCTTGAAAGAACACATTGCATTCAAATGAGCATTTGTTACAGGATGAAATTTACTGGAAAAGACGATATGATGCAAAGTTTGGTACTACAATTACCAGAAAACCAGAACAATGGAGTTGGAAAAGTTTATACATAGAAAGACACATCCAAGATGTGTTAGAGCAAGCACAACCTGAACATGGCGACGAAGATGAAATGGATGATCTCTTAAATCTATGCGCCTCATATATTCGTAAATTAGTCGTAACGCAGTTACAGGCTTGGAAACCTCCACTACACTGGGATGAAGAGGATATTCCAGAATTTTATCCTACGGATCATATTAGTTTTGAGCCGGTTTTTAAGAAACTCATAAATATTGAAGAGTTGGATGTCATATACGGTGGGTAAAGATTTATTTATCAAAATGTGTACTACAGAGAAAAAGTTTTTAATTTATTAGTTCTGTAGACTTGATTTTAGTGCACGAAAGTTGCGAGGAAAAAAAACATAAAAATACAAAATACAACATATACATTATGTTGCGACATACTTTCATTTTCGCCAATTTCCATGAGAATAAAAACGGTCCATCAAAATCATATTTGGTAAGCCCAAAGATATTTACACGACTTTAACAAATACAACTAATTTTAGTACACAGTGCAATGCGAATACCTAAAAATATTTGTACACCGCGTCTTTTAAAAAATTATAACCAGCAATAATTTACATAACGTAGAAATATCTTCAGATGTCGTCTATAATAATCATAATCAAATTAATAAGCTGAAATCAGTTTAACCCAGACGAGACGGCGTTGCATCTTAATTTCTGGCCGCATGACCGCTCTCATTTCTGAATCTGTTTAAATCAACTCAAGGACGTTGTATTAATACAGCGTCCTTGATCTAAATCTTTCGCTAAAGAGAGTATCCTCCCAATTTGGAAAAAAATTCATAGGTACGATTTAACCATATTTAATTTTGGAGATAGATCTAATATTATTAACTGTCCAGTCTGCATAACTTCAGCTTTATGTAAAATTTTTTGGTTAATATTAATTACATAAAAGTCAGGAAAATGGCACTTTACTGAAGAGGAGTTAAATTAAAATACAAATTTTAAAACTCCAAGTCAAGTATAAACTTTTTCCGGAAATCGTTAAAGATCGAAATTTGATGGCAATTATTGTTCTATGAACAATAATTGATTTGAAATTTGTCATATTGGAACTTCTAATGAAAATCTCAAACTTAGTCTCAAATCGCTGTCTGGAATTAATGTTTTTTTTTACCGGAAAAATAAAAACTTGAACTTGAAGTTTTAGATTTATTTATGTTACATTAAGTAGGTACACAGTTAGGTGCTGTTATAAATGAAAAATTAAGTACTGCAGTATTTTCAACATTAATTATACGCGACGCTTCTCCTGAATGAATGAGTTTGCTATTTCCGGACTTGGTATTCTCTTTCTGGTCCTGTATTTTTTTCGCGACGTTAATTTTATTCTGAATGGAATTTTTTATACATCCCTCCACCACTGATGTCCACCCTTTGTATATTTTGATGTTACATAAATTAGCACCAGCGTGTGCTAAAAATTTTGTGGAATTACGCGGAACGCAGTGACCATTGAATTCTTTCGGATTTTATAATTTCAAACATTCCGCTATTTTGCTTGACATTTTAGCTAAAATGTGAATGTTTACATCTTCATTCGTAAAAGCTAGATTTGTTTTGATTTGTATTCCGTGCTGGTTCTCTTTATAAGCGTCGTTTCAATTTGAGTGTTGTTTTTAGTTGGTTGATAGTTTACAAGTTTTATTTTTTTTCTCCGATGTATTGTTCCACTTTTTTTTCCTGTTACACCATGCTTCAAATTCCCGAAAAACATTTTCATATCTTTCCCGCGACACAGAAGGTATCAATTTGTCACAATACTCTTTAGGGGCCTTGTTAATGCTATTTTTACAGTCTAAATCACATCTTCACTCACGGGTAATACTATTACTATTACTTTCGAGCCCACCATAGGTTTTAAAACGATACATTCTTTAGTTAAAAGTGTAAAATTCACGAATTTATGATTCCAAATAAAAAACTGTACGCGTCATGATTTTACTGGTTTCGTCACGTACCAGGGACTCATCTATGACTCGTCCTGGTATTTGCTAACTCAGCCAGTAAAATCTGATTTTCCGGACTGGATACGTAAATAACTAATTTTATTAATCTCCTTCCATTATTAAGGCCAATCGCTACGTTTTCTGAGTGGGATTTTCGGTCTATTTTCAGAATGTAATATCTGCGTTATTAACAAACTTATGATTTTGAAATTTGAAATAAATGTCCATAGCTTTCTTTATATAGGAAGGTCAATTTTGTTAAAAACAATTTATTATCATACTTTTCTTTTAATTTTAGTGAAATTTTTGCATAATGTATGTTTAAAAATCAATATCTCAATTATTAAAGGAAATTTCAGAACACAGTTTTCAACACTGTTTTCAGCTTAGAAAACTCCAAAAATCGTACAAGAGATGCTGTATTTAAGGATTTTCTTGAAACGAAGCGTGTTGAAATTAGAAAAACTTGTTTTTTTTCCACTTGACATTTGAATTAGAAAATTAGATAATGATGCCAATCTTTAATTTCTAGTGACCTTAAGATTGTAATTTAACTACAGAAAAATTTCTACATCTACCGAACGTGAATGTTTATTATGTAGATATTCGTAAAGCATTTGATCGTCTTGATCATACCATGTTTAGTCCTTTTGAATAGATGTCTGTCTGTCTGTCTGTCTGATTAGTTTGTTGTATTTTCTGGGATACCTTAGGGTAGCCTACCCACTACCATTTGGGACTTACACTATTTTCTTTGTTTATCAACAATGTAACACATCAACTTTCTTTAGGGTTTTTGATGTTTGCAGACGATTTATGAATATTGTAAAATAACTTACATGGACTATTCAGTATTATTAGTTTATAATTCAAGTAAGAGTGTGATTTTAAATTTTGATAAGTGTACACCAGTATGATTTTTAACAATACATATTGAAATTTATGTATAATATGGATGTTCTTTTGAATCGCAAATTAATTTTAATGAACTGCTCGATAATATGGAGTTTATACGTATGTCTTCATAAAAAGGCAAACCATAAAGAAAAAATTCATGCTTTTTTTTTGTAAAATTTTCTATGCGGGTTAATTTCTGATCACTCTTGAAAGTGTGGATCTGCGAAAAATAAAAAAATACACAATATTTAGATTTAAACTTGTCAACAATAACACGGGTTGTAAGCTATTAAACAAACATTTGTTTAATAGTTTGCTGTGATGGACAGAGAAGACATGGTCGTTCACGGAAACTATCACCTATATAAATTCATGTCCCCTCCTATTGAGAGTCTGAATGGTAGTCGTTTATAACATATTTACGGTGTTAAATTTTCAGCCGCCCTTGCCATGAATAATGCAAATTTATGACACCATTCCGAGCTTTAGGTAGCAGATCTTTGTTGTGTTTGGGTAACACACTTTTCATAAACAGGATCTAACTCCTTTAATGAAGGCCTATCCTTCCAATCAAAATCATAAAGGAAGATTTCACTATTTTTATTTATATTGGAATAATTAGTTATGTCGATACAATCAAGTTTCGTTAAGTTCGTTTATCATATCCTGCCCGTTGGCTAATCATTTGTAGTACTCTAAATGGTATCTATCACTCTGAAGGGAGTCGGGTGCATTGTTGGTAAATTAGGATATTGTGAAGGCGACAATGCAGCAGTTAATAAGGTGAACTCACAATTGTAAATCTTTTTGACGCCACCTGTTCCTGTCTGTTATTCACTCGAGAGATGGATTCAAGGAAATGCATTATTCTTCGAGCACTCAATTATTATTTTATATTTTACCCTGCTGTATTTTTATAATCTATACATTTCTAAATAAATGCAAGCGGCAGATATAAATAATAATAATATAATTAATACTAAATAATAATAATACGCAAGGCGTTGTGCAAACTTTGATTTTTGACGGTAGAATCGGGCTGATAATTAATAAATTGCATAAAAGAGATTATTATTCCCATTGATCTAATAAAGGAATGGATGGAGCCTTGTATACGTTTCCATACGCGAGCGAGTGTAATCAACATAAGAAAGAAATAGCTAGAGCGGATATGCATCAGTGGGGAAAGGACGGCTGACCACGTTATCACGTGCTGGGTGGCAAGAAACGCTTCATTTGAACGGGAATTAATACGTTTTCTTACGAATTTATTCAAACAATCAATTATAACAAACGTCTGTTAATGAAAACTATATTTTTACAGTTTACATTAAAATTATGTGTAATGTGAAACAACAAAAATCATGTTAAGTGGTGGAGATAGTCTTTTAATAAAATGAAATGTATAGAGAATCTACAATATATTACGAATTCAGTTAGTACAGTAATCTTCTAAAGTTAACTAATCTTGTAGTGTACGTTCATTGGTAATTCTGAAATTTTTAGGATAAAAATAATTAAACTTTCGAAAAAAGTGACAGGGTGCCTAATTAAATTAAACATATTAAATTGTGTGGAATTTTCTACTAAAATTTATTTTCTAAATCCACGTACAAATAACTAAAACAATAATCAATAAATATGAAATTCCCTCTTTTTGTAGCAATAAACCGTTTTTTCGTAACTCGGAATGTTTAGGGAATCTAACAAATTTTTTAAATTATTTACGAAATCCTTCGTCTGTGTATGTGATTATTACCTATGAAATGAAACAGGATTGCTGTCTTTGCACGTTCTATGCAATTATACGCACAACACGATTTCACGATGTTTAACAAATACTCCGATAAAATACAACTTAAGAAGACTGTAGATATTTAAATAAGGTAACTTGAGCCTAAAAAACGTAAATTTGCAAAAATATACCTTCAAACACCATGAGACAGCACGAAAGAAACCTCCAGAAACACAGTGCTCTGCAGTTTCGCGTCAATGTTTTGCCACCCAGAGAGCCCTATCTCTGTCCCACTGTGTTGACAACGCGCGTCTCTCTCTAAGTTACTTCCATATAATATTATGTCTATGATTATTCCGCATTACTAGATTTAGGGGGGCCCTATAGCCCTAGAGAACATGGAAAACTTTGTTTATACTCTACAGCTTATCTGTTTTGTGATATGCAGGTATAGTGCTGCAAATGCTGGTTCTTTTTTATGACTGCATCCTATTGTGAAGGAGTTAAGTGTTCCACAATAGGCCTCTGCCGTAAATAATCCAGCGGTCATAAACCATCAAGGGACCAACTGTCTGCACTACACAGGGCCGTTTGCGCCCGTAAACCTTTAAGATGATTTATGGCACGGGTATTTACATTTTCAATACAGTTCATAATACTTGCGGTAATTGAGATTGCAGAGCCATAAAAACGAAGTCAGAGTTGGACCACTATAATAGTTTGTGAGATGCTTTTTAGTTGCAAACAAAGTGTTTTTTAATGTAAAAATCCATGAAACCACTTCTCTAATACAATAAACCTGAGCAGCATAGAGTAATTATATTATAGTAGGTATATAGATTTGAAAAATCAAAACAAAATATTTTTTCTACAATTATGTAAAAAATTACTCATATGTCAATGGTTTAGAGTGCAAAAAGTGGCACTTTCTTGTACTAGTGCAAGCAAAATTTTATTGCACTCTAATGTCAATCTAATCAACGTCAAATTTTATTAATTAATCATAACTATAATAATTATTATTTATGCGGAGTATGAGGTGGACGAAGTTTCGTGTACTTCTTATACATTTCTTTCAAATTAAATCCTATTTCGCTCTTAATTACAAAACTTCTTTCTTTATCGGTCTTAGAGCGTAGTACTTTGACTACTAAAATGGAGCCAGTGTCTTTTATGTCGTCGACAGTCATTTTTTAAAGCTCATCTCTTCGACATGTCCCTGCTATAGCAAAAATAGCAACAACCTATAATACGTAATAAATATTAATGTAATCCAATAAAAATTATAAATAATAATAATTAAAGTAACTACCTTTTCCATTAAATATAATGAATCTGGCACCTCTTTCAGAAACTGGTATAATTGTGCTGTACTGAAAATTTTTGATTTTTTTGCTCTGAATCCCACGGAGTTCCTCTTTAAGAATGATCGTTTGCAATTTTTTTTATGTCTATACTTTCTTTCACCAAAAGCCAAAAGGAAAGCACGTATCATGGAATATTCGGACCATAGGGTAGAAGGCTTTATAGTGAACCAAGAGCTATAAGGTTATATGGCCATCATAAAAGTAGTTGACCGCAAATAAATACCCCCTTTGTGTGGTTCGCATTAAGCATACCGGTTGGCAATAAATCATCTTCTAAACATTTCTTGCTCATATTTAACAGGGCCGGCTTTCAAAGGGAGTGGTTATTTCGGAACCCTCAGCGGCTGCAGGTAGTAAAGAAATAGTGGAGTGGTGGATTTTCATATTTAGTGAAAGCCGCCCCTGAACGAAACCACAAGAACCGGTCGAGCTGCAGTGGACACGTTATTTACGACCCTAAAACCTTTTCTATTGTAAACAACTTAACTTCGACACAATGGGATGATTTTATGATGGCCATATAACCTTATAACTCTTGGTTCAAAATAAGCCAGAAGCACGGTTTCTGTTAAATGCACAACCTTTTTGTCCTCACACCATTCTTTGAACCTATTGTATGTTACATCATATTGTTTTTGGGATTTCTCGGGCAATAAATTAAATATTGCCGCATTGGCCATCTCAGTAACTTCAGGGTTTGTTTAATTTTCACTCGAATCACTCATTTTGGGGTCAGAACGGTTTAAAACACTCACTCACTACTTATTTATGGCGTTTTATTTTATTTTGCAAATTGGCTTTATTTTTGGAAACATTGGTTGTCATGGTAGGTATTGGTTTTAGTTGTTGTAGAATTTTATTTTCTCCAGTAAAACTGGTGCATTATACCCACTACTGTGGAAAAAATGTTATATGCAACACGTGCAAAAGTGTTCTTGCACTTGACGCATTGTCCGAATGTCCTCGACCTTCGATCTCGTCGGACAATTGTTACGTCGCGCGCAAGAATCAATCACTTTTTGCACTTGTTGCATACCTACCTAAATAACTATTATTTATCATATAATCTCGAAAATACCAGAATGTGAAATGTATTTTAGGCATATCGTGTAGATGGTACCTAAAACGGTAACCAAAATTTGTCTGGTCATCCCCACCACCAATTTGATGACGTCACTTCAAAATTTTAACAATAAATCCGTTTAATTAATCTATGCAGAGGTGCATATCAATAGTTAGTTTATACTCAAATTTGTCTCTTCCTTGCAAAATGTTAACACATTTTTTATGTTGATGCTTTACGATTTAACTTTTTTAATTTTTTTTTGTCATGTCAGGCACCTGATTATTTCCAGTTTCCCAATTTTTAACTACACATTCCTCAAACATAGGTCTAGACTTAGTGTGCTATTATATTTTCTCATATTAACAATTAATAATAATAAAATTGTTATTTACCTAAGCTTCCGAAAAGACGAAAATATTAGTCATTTCCTGAAATAGTTGTATTCGGTACAAATGTTATCACTCTTTTAGGTTTTCAAATAGATAAAGATTAAATTTTATAATATGTATCATTCTAATCTAAACCCTAAATTGTGGAACAAAGCATACGTAGCCTAAAAAAAAATCTTTAAAATAAACTTTGTAGTTTCTGTAAAATCCAATACATAACTGTTTTAAAAACTGGGAGCAAACATTTACGACAGCGAAAGTTTCAATTATCTTACAACTATCAGAAGGCTTTAGTAAATCCGAGGAACTTCACACTTCACGTTGTGCAGATGTAAGCTGTTCGTAGTTTATTTTTTTCCTTTCCACTATTTTCAGAAAATTACAGAAATAACCAAAATATCATTAGTTGCATAAGTATTTAATTAAAAAAAAAACAATGAATATTGCTGGTCAATATTCATGGTTTATAAGAGAACATTTGTTATGAAATTACCCGTCGTTTAGTTTTGTTCAGTTGTATTTTTTTTGACGTTGTACGTCATTTAATTTGTATTTTCATTTTAAGATACTTTGTGTTCCAATAAAATAATGAAGCAGCCAGACCTGACATTATTTAAATTTCTTAGATATTAGACTGAAATTCTTAACTTCACAATTAAACAGTTCCTGCAAAAACCTATTAAAAAAAGTTGTTGATCTTCATGAGCTCTACATCCAATTAAAATTAAGGTACTTATTTCTGAGACACCTGTATAATGGTATTTGTTCCAGGCATGAATAACGTTGGTGATAAATTCTCTTGGCATATGTTCAATGTGTCAGTAGGAGATTGTCAACGCTTAGGAAAAGCAATCTACCATTTAAAATATCTTCGAGTCTTAAGAATTCACAGAAGTAAATTGGACGATCAACATATTCGTGCCTTGATGCAAGGTTTTATTAAAAACGAAACAGTAGAAGAACTAGATCTTTCGCATTGTCTCATTGGTGATCAAGGGGCCTGTTGTATAGCTAAAATCTTGTGCGTTCATCCAAAATTGCGGATTCTAAATCTTTGTAATAATAAAATTGAAAAATTAGGATGTGAGGGCATAGGTTTTGCATTATTGCAGCCGGAATGTTGTTTGGAAAAACTAAATTTAAAACTGAATCCATTACATAAGGACGGTGCAATGGGTATAATGAGAGCTTTGGTTAGAAGTACAAAACTCACTGAATTGTCTATGGCAGCATGTGAATACGATGACAATGCACCCATAAGAACAGGACAAATGCTAATGCTAAACAGGTCGTTAAAAAAATTAGATGTCAGTAATAACTGGTTCGACGATGAAGGGGGACAGGTAAGCACAAAATCGCTATAGTTGTTGTGGTCTCTGTAAGTAAATCTACAGGCAACGTATTTTTGTTTTCTACGAAAACTGTTAAAAATTAAAAAATATGTCTATGACAACTAGTTCTTTAAAATATTCCACAAACATATAATACCAGTTATTTTCTTGCAATTGGGTTTCTAGTCCTTACAGTTTTCAAATTAAAGCAATTTCGCATGATTAAACCATGGCAAAAATATATATGATATTAGACCTTTGTCAGAATAATGTTTCCCTATCGGTTACGCTCAGGAACTAAAAAAATAATGTCGAAAAAATTAACACTGAATTAGGTTTTGACTTTTATTCGGTTTTCCCATTGTGTTGTCTCGAACAAATACAGATTTACATATCTTTGTTTTTTATCCAAGTTATTATTATTATTATTATTATTAATATTATTACATAATGATGTGGCAAGTTGGTGCAAACTCGATAAATTTTATCCAGCAATGACCACTTCTTATAACACATTCGCTAGGTTATGCATCAAAAGAATAACCAGATCGTGCTACAAACTCACAGTGTTATTACTTTAAAATGAATCTGAAAATGAAAGATGAGTAAAAGTAAAAATGTTTGAAGATTCTTCCCGTTAAAAAAATCTGATTAATTTTGAACGAACACTTGTTATTTATATAGACAAGCCATCAATACCTACATATTTTCAATCAGTAGGATAATTAAGCAGGTACTACAGGTACATATGCACAGGGTGGCCATAAAACCAAACCATAAAAACACGAAAATTTCGAAAAAAATTAAATAAGCCTTCTGGTAAACGGCACACTTGTAGTACCAAAGCCCTCCTCTAATAGGTTCTTGAGGGCACTACCGGAATCCTGCGTGTACATGCGTGAACCTATACGCATGCCACTTCATCTTATGCCACCCAGACTGGGAGAGAGGCTATCTTGTGCCGATTGGTCGGCCACCCTCGTGAGACCATATAAAAGAAACCGTTCCGCACCACCGAACTACCGAAGACACTTTCTGTTTCGGATCCTCTTGCACTGGTTGCCTCCACCTGAGTGTGAAGTAGTGTGAACCATTGATCTAATAAAGAAGTGGATGGAGCCTTGTATACGTTTCCATACGCAAGCGAGTGTAATCAACACAAGAAAGAAATAACAAGAGTTGTTATGCATCAGTGGGAAAAGGACGGCTGACCACGTAGCACGTGCTGGGTGGCAAAAAATGCTTCATTTGAACGGGAATTAATATGTTTTCTTACGAATTTGTTCAAACAATCAATTATAACAAACGTTTGTTAATGAAAACTATATTTTTACAGTTTACATTAAAATTTTGTGTAATATGAAACAACAAAAATCATGTTAAGTGGTGGAGATAGTCTTTTAATAAAATGAAATAAATACAGAATCTACAATATATTACGAATTCAGTTAATACAATAATCTTCTACAAGTTAACTAATCTTGTAGTGTATGTTCATTGGTAAATCTGAAATTTTTACGATAAAATTAATTAAACTTTCGATAAAAGTGACAGGGTGCCTAATTAAATTAAACATATTAAAGTGGGTGGAATTTTCTAGTAAAATCTATTTTCTAAATCCACGTACAAATAACTAAAACAATAATTAATCAATAGATATAGAATTCCCTCTTTTTGTAGCAACAATATTTTTTTCGTAACTCGGAATGTTTAGGGAATCTAACAAAATTTTTAAATTATAATTACGAAATTCTTCGTCTCTATATGTGATTATTACCTATGAAATGAAACAGGATTGCTTTCTTTGCACGTTCTTTGCAATTATACGCACAACACGATTTCACGATGTTTAACAAATAGTCCGATAAAATACAACTTAAGAAGACTGTAGTCATTTAAATAAAGTAACTTGAGCCTAAAAAACGTAAATTTGCAAAAATACACCTTTAAACACCATGCGACAGCACGAAAGAAACCGCCAGAAACACAGTGCTCTGCAGTTTCGCGTCAATGTTTTGCCACCCAGAGAGCCCTATCTCTGTCCCACTGTGTTGGCAACACGCGTCTCTCTCTAAGTTACTTCCATATAATATTATTTCTATGGTGTGAACTCCTCCATTGGTTACTGGTTACGAGTATCACAGAAGTCTACGCTCCTGGCTGTGTACATATAATTCATGCATATATGTACAATATTACGAAACTAAAAGAGGACCCGGGTGGGTGTGTTGGCTTCGCGTCTGCGTCTACATCTTGGGTCGTGGATGCGATTCCTGCTCTAGCTCTGGGTGTTTCTATACGTCTGGTTTTTTGTAATTGGGCCTCGGCCTGTTAAAGACCTAATTAATAAAAAAAAGTCGAGGATGGTGGAAAAAGAACGGAGGGATATTACGGTGAAATTAGGGGCACCGACCTCTCTGGATCTAAACACCGTTTACGTACTTGAGTTAACCACACCCCTAGGTTCAAAAGTATCGCCAACCAGTGGCGGAGCAACTTGGCTTACTTGAGCATCGTCTGGTACTTACTCAAGCATTAGCATCATCTAGAAAAACTAGAAACATTTTGAGTTAATACTCAAGTAGGTACTTCGTACTTTGCTGCCTATTTTATTATGTTGGGAGACAATTTACGTATCACCAGGTCCAGAGAAATTCTCGGCCGAGAATATTTCATCGCAGAGATCATACCTAAGTTGATCCACACAGCCGACACCTTCCAGGAAGTAGGAGAAGTGCAAGGAAAGAGACAAGATCGCTAAAAACGATATTACTGTTACGAAAGAAACCCATACGCCGCCCCGGTACGACGCCTATGGGTTCTAGTATGTACGGCGAAGATGACTCATCGTCGATGACGGCGAAATAGAGGGCACCTTCGGGAACGAATCTGTCTCAACCCACAAATGACGTGCAGACAATTGAGTTGAGTCTAGTCAATTCAATTCCAGTCGAGTCGTAGTTATTTTGTACATAATCGCTGTGCAGTTAGTCGTGTAAATTTGAGTTAGTAAGAAATAAATTGTTGCGTTTTACCCACGGCGATTTTAATCGCCGATCAACGTAACACTACGATCTTCGCCATGAGCCAGGCCCAAACTACCAGCTTGGAGACCTAATCTTAGTGATGACGCACTCACTAAAGTTTAATAATTTCTTATAGATTAAACTTGGAACTGGTCTCGAAGTACGCCGAGCGTTCTAATATATGCCTGCTGTGTATTTCGTATTGTGTAAATTGAGAATTTTTCGGTACACGATACGATTTTTGTGAACTCATTTTGATCAATCATGTAAATTCTTGGTTATTTGAAATTTGTTTTTTTTTGTTGTAGTTTCCGTAATTCATTTAATCATCATCAGAACTTCGAGAGTGCAAATTTTAGATTAATCCGGTTAATCAATTTTTTGAACTTAACACGTGATGGCACTTTTTTATCAATAATACCAAAATGAACAAGTTGAAGTTCATCAGTCAATTGCTGCAATGTTACTATGAGGGATTTTTACCAGGAGTTGTCAAGTATTTTTCTAAATAGCCTAAGTTTGCAAGTAATGATGAGTTCATTTTCCAAAATATCTGGGTACACTTCACCATTAAAGTTGCCTTCAATAATATAATGTGGCGACTCATTTTTTATTATTTACAATAAAAACATGGTACTTCTTACTGCAAACGTTTTGCAGAATTGTATGCATAGGTTCTCAGTTGGAGAAATCGAAAACAAATTAATTTCGTTTATTACAGCGTCATGTCATGAATGTAAAAAAATGTTTTAGACAAACCCTACGTGCTTTTAGCTGTATAATCCAAATTTGTTGTGATAACCTAAACATCCCGCCTTAAAATTGACATGTGAAAAAAAATTGAAAGCCCGCGAAAAATTCAAAAATTGGCCTAACAAAATGGAACCCTACCCCAAGGTTGAAAAAGTACCGTTAAATAAAACACAAAATATGTAGAGGACACAATAGATATTTATTTTATTAGGAGTTTAAGTGATACTTTATGTGACAGAGTATGGACGATTAAATGCCGAGCGATAGCGAGGCGAATTAAGTCCATACGAGTCACATAAAGTCACTTAAACTCCGAATGAAATACAATATTTTATTTTCAAACGATTAATCTTCTTTTGAAATGATTATTTCCTATCTTCGTGCTTCATTAAGGAATTGCCTTGATTTCACTTACCATGGTTACTATGGTTGACAACCACTATGTTCTGAATCAATGCAAATATTTGAATATCACAAATGTAATAAAAAAATTGGTCTAAAGAGTTTAGCCAGTACTTCCCTCGCTGTCGGAAACGGAACAACTGCATGCCTATTATGCTTTTTTTCGCATTAGATTTCAAAGCATTCGGTTTTGTAGTTCTTGATTAAATCAATAAAATAAATTTGTGCATTCATTAAATTTTTTGAGTCACCTGTATATCCAAATCCCAAAAATATGAATGGAATGATAAATCACACGAAGAGACTCATCATATTTTGTACATTTTAGATAGGATTTATTCAGCAAAATTTTAGGGTGGCGTCATCCATTTTTTAGGGGGAATGAGCAATTATATTTTGATCAAAAATTTACCATGCTTATGATAAATTTAAAACATTTCCAAGATTTCAAAGCATCCGGTTTTGTAGTTCCTGATTAAATCAATAAAATGAATATGCGGATTCATTAAATTTGAGTCACCCTGTATATGCTGGATGCAAATACACAAGTTAATGTGTGGCAGCAAATTAAAATTATGGCAGTCAACAAGAGAACAAAATCTTAATAAAAAAAACTCTATGCAGCGGGGCGCACAGCAACAGCGGCACCAGAGAGCCCCCTCGTGAATACCTATGACTCCAAAAGTTGAGGGGGCACCCGGGTCGCCATAAAAGTGTGGCGATCGAGCTTCAGCACAGCAAAATTACCCATAGGCGGCGTTGTAGCACGAACGGAGTTTGGAGCTCCTGGTTGTGGCTGTTCTCCCACCACGACGGTGATTCTACTCAATCGGCAAGCACATGCCGCCCAGCACCCCTCTATGTAACGAAGAAACGTGCCGCGCTAACAGGTCGTTACGGTCGCAAACTCGTGGTTGGAAATTCCGGATATTGGGGCAAGCCGCGAGCGTCACGTCATCCCGACTGCTCCCCTGACATCTATTCAAGACCTGTGTCTTTTATGCAGATAGCGCGATAAATTCCGCCAGCTCGACAAAGGAACCGCGCACTCCGCTTTCGCCACATATTCCTGTGTTATTTACCCCAATTCTATTTAAGTGCTCACTTTCTAAGTATGACTCTGATATTAAACCACAACCAAACAAGTTTCAAAAAGAGCAATCAACAACATTTAAATTCGCCATACACTCTCATGAAATTTGAAACAGTAAAGAATTCTTATCTGAGATTAAGATTGACCAGCAGACAATTTATATGTATGATGGAAGCATTAATCAACAAAATATTTACCTGGTCAGAAAAACTAGCAAAGATTTATAAAAACAAAAAAGATCTGGTGTGAAGTATAACTTGTGCAGACAAAAAAATTACGTGAGGCTAGGAACTGCAGAGCATGAAAATTTACGTTCAATTTAAATTATACAGCAAAGAAAATTCCTGAGGCTAAAATTGTGTGATAGAGAAAAATTGAAAAGCCAACAAAATTACATGAGGTTAATATTTGCCACACGTTATCAACGATTCAAACAAAAAATTTACATGATGTTCAATTATGCCTTGATCCAAGTGATTGGTTACTTAAAACAATTAGCTTTGAGAGTTTATATCGTGTACTGTCCCCAGTTTATACCTAACAAACATACACATTATATGATAAATAAACACAAAATGCATCCCTCGTCGCGAGAATTACGTCTCGGTGGTGTAATTTCTCACGTCGAGATGACGTGATTTTCCATGTAGCGAAAAATACGTCTCGATGATGTCCGGATCGGATGATAACTGCCTAAGGGAAGAAAAAATTAATCCCCTCGTCTCTCAGTCCACGATATTATGAATTCTGCCGCACTTTCCACGATCCCTTTTCCCAGACACGGTTAGGTTAATTTAACTGCCATAAATGAACTATTAGCAATATTATGTGAGGAATTAAGAAGTGTTATAATGTAATACTTAAGTATAAGCATCCAGAAAACTTATTTATAACTTGATAAAGAAGGCTGAGTCCTGACTAAGTGATTTCATGAAATCTCCTAGCCAGTAATTTACCTGAATAATCTCACGACTGTCAAATTGTACTAGAAACAGTAACGATTAAAATTCTAATATGAATTGTGAATTTACAGAATAAATCAAATTTACACCACGTGTTAGCGTCGGTCCAAAATTCGCATATTTCGATTGAAAAACAGCAAGAATTAGCTACGCTTGTTGGGTAAACTGTGGCGTCGTCATCGATACGATTAATTTTCGTTAAACAAAACAACTTTCTTTTTTTTTTTAACTATCAAAACAACTAATCTAGCTACCTTACTGTCTACTTTCACTCACACCAAACAAACAACAGTGACGCATCTCAAGCCCCTACCATGCAAGCTAACCTTTACCAATCTTCTCACTAGATACTACTCAGAAATTCCCTAGAAGAGTTACCAACTACCAGAAAAAAAACTAAACTTGCACATATTTGCCTATGCTTAATGATTTTCTTAATGACTTTTTTTTTTTTTTTTAGTTCAAATTATTCAGATGCGATTTCGCGCCGTTGTTTTTTTTCAGCGCTAAATTTTAATTTAAATTTGATCACCACACTGTAATAAGGGTTCCTACTTAAAATTTCAAAGTAACCCCCCCAACTAAAAGGAGTGGGGAAGGGGAATAGTTTTTACACTAAAGTATTTCCCCCATGGAATTATTATATTTTTTATATGGATATTTTTTTGTAGAGTGCTTATTTTTCGAGATATTTGAATGTTTTAAGTTAAAAAAAAATCACCCTGTATATATACATTGGGCCCCACATCCCAGAAGCATACTCCAAATTCGATCTAATGTCAGCAGTATGTTCAAAAATTAGCGCACCAGCTCAACGATGCATGATTAAATTCACAAATCTAAACTCGAGAAAAATGATAAAAAAAAATTCCTTACGTCAATTTAACGTTGACTTATCAAAACAAAATATCGATTAGATAAATCAAAAAACCTGAAAATTTAGCCACTGATGTCAGATTCAACCTACTTACATGATTTTTAAGTTTTTTGTAACGTTATCAAATGAAGAGGTCTATGAACAAAGACAAAATGCCTCCAAAATTATTTTGAATAATCAAAGGCCAATCGATTTCAGATGTCCAACACAAAGTAGTGAATTAGTCAACTTTCGGAAAAAATATTAAACTTTGAAGCACATTATATCTTCTACATTCGGATAAAAGGATCTGCTTGCTGCGAGTACATAATACTAAACTTTTTCCAAAGCTGATAGCCCCATTTTGTTGAACGTCACAACTCAAGGCCAAATTTTAATTATTTGCAGGGTTTATAATTTCTAATTTTGGCGGGATGTTTAGGTTACCACAGTAGTTACAATTAACGTGTTTTAATTTTTTCGAAAAATATTTTAATGTACATATGTGTTCTGTATATTATGTGTTCTGGATTTAGAAATATCTGCAAATTAACTTTTTTTATAAATATAAAACTTCGTAGCGGCAGTAGGAGATATAAATATATACGTATTGAATAAAACATCCTTTATATGTACAATGGATAATTTGAATTATTTAAATATATTTAGTCACTGGTGCATTATTCTAGGTTTATAAATAAATAACCACTTCATCTTGTATCTTTTTTAGGCAATTATAATATAGGCATTTTTATCCGACAAGAATGATTGTGTTGCAAATTTTTCACCAAAGATATTTGTTAACTTTCACTAAGTATTATAAAAACACGAAAAAAATCTTCGCATTCTAGGAATTTATAGCAGCTATTCAGTTCATAAATTATTTTTGCAGTTTTTTTTTATACACTTCCAACAACAATCGCGTGATATTCTAAACACAAAAAATTTTAATTATCTGTTGACTACACTATTCCGAATTATATGGCTTTGCAAAATGGGGGCAAGAGGATATGTGGATGATAAAACCGGGAATGTAAAGTTATTGCGATGCAAAAATTTTATACACACCTTTGAAAAGTACAGTCATGTTAGATTACCATTTATGACATTTCGTGCTTTCGGTGCGACACCTTCTACTCCCTCTGTATATTATTTACTCTTCGAGTCTAACAGAAATTTGCACGGCTTGAGCAGCCGTTTTAAAATCCGTAACGTATTATTTTCTACGAATTTTCTTACTTTAGCTACAATATCGTAAGGTAAAGGATTTAATTTTCTTATTTTAGTTTCTCGTGGATGGGCTGACTATTAACCAAACTCTTGAATGGTTAGATGTTAGAGAAACTGACATCACTCCTGCTCAACTACACATGCTCCAGAAATTATTACAGCGTAATCGCTTAGAGGCAGAAGATGTAGAAGAATCTGTTTATGAAGAATCTTCACCATCCGTTTCTGAACAAGCAGAAGTCGCTTCGCAAAAGACCACTACGTCAGGAACGGCTAGCATTTTAAATGAATAATAAAACTAGAATCTACAGTATATACTGTATTTACAGAAATACAATATACAAGACTAGAAAATATATTGAATATAAATAATTACATATGTATCTCACAAATCTAAACACAATGTCACAAACCGAAACTTACATAAATCAAAAGCCCAAATAATACATTTTTTGCCGAAATCATATAATCTACTAATATAGTACACTTTCTCTATTGGAATAAAACTTTAAATTATTTAAAAAAAAGAGGTAAAAAATACAAAAAGTACTACAAAAATAACAACAATCAATTACAGATAGTATATACAACAGATTCTAATAAAAATTTCACTCGCCTTTCACTCTACATTAAACCATTAATTCTCGTAAAATTTACGAATATCTAATAAAAATATTGCAAGGTATAAACAAGTATAAAAAAATCTAAAAACTTACTTATAAAAACAGTCATAGCACAATAATACAGACATTTTTGCTAATAAACCCTTAATAAATGTAATTGGCCACAACAAATACATAAAACAGTTCGCTTAAATGGATCTGAAAATGTCACATTAACTTGTCAGTCCAATCAAGTTGTCATTACGTATGCAAATTAAAATGAAGACGTATTTGAGTTATATATTCGATTTACAATAAGCGAATATTTTAATATTACAATTAATTAATATTAATTATCGTTTAAAATTTTAATCTAAAAAAAGACAAAAAAGGATTACGTTTTAAGTATGGGGGTATACAGTAAATTTAAGTCACCCCTGAGCAATTGTAAAAATATCACTAAGTTTTAATCCTTGGCAGTATCTTTGTCACAAATTGATGATATCCATTTTAAAAATATTACCATCTACATCAACCACCAAAAATGATCTAAAATCTTTAGATGCAGAGATGTACCGTAAATGCTTTCCATGCAAATTTGTACTTGTCAGTAAATAAGGCACTGTGTCATGGAGTTTTTTGTCTTTCCAAGGATCAAATGTAAATACCCTTAGTTGATGGCTGTCCAGATGTGAATTTAATGCCTTTGCCTCACTGTAAAATAAAACAGGTTAAAGTGCCTGCTGTAAAAGTAGCAAGTTTAAAGCTTAAAGCGTTAAAGTTTTCAACTGTATGAGTGTTAATAGTGATTTTTTTTTATTAATAATGGGCCAACCAGACTAACTTTCTTGAAAAAAGTTGTTTAATACAAGTAAAGGAATTAATTATGGGTATTTCAGTGATTGCTTAGTTTAGTTCACGTCTAGTTGAAGAGAAAATACGTATAGGGTATCAAGAAATCTTAATTTGGTACCGAAGCAATCTATATAAAAATTAGTCTTAAGTTATTTAGACAGAATTTCCCTTGCCTCTAAAGTACAGGCAAACAAATACAGCTTTTTTGAAAAATTATAAAATTTAATTTTGCGAATTAATTTCTTTTTATGGTAACCCCTATTAGTTAAAATAAGGATTGTGGATTGGATTGTTAAAGTACAAGTAAAGAAGCATACTATGCAATTGTTTCAAATGAGTTCTTCCATAACAAAATTTGTATTGACATCATCAACCGTTTTTCATTTGATCTATAAAATAGATTGCCTCATTAATTAAGTAATTTTTAAAAAATATAAACGATCTGATAAACCCTAAGTACAAATTCGTAATATTTTGCATATTTAACACAGGATTTGTTTGGCAAAATTTTGAGATGATGTCATCAATTTTTCACGAGACGATAAACGGATACATTTTGATTAACGATTTACCATGCTTACGATAACCTTAAAACGTTTGAAAAATTTCAGAGCAAAGTTGTTATAATAATCGATTTTGTTCTAAAAATCTTCATGTCTAGGATTCATAAGCTACACGTGTATTAATGTTATTTTTATGAAATTTATTATTCTTTTACTATGTACTATTTTTAGGTGACGTCAGCACATTGTTGGTGGGGATGATTAGACAAAGTCTGATTGGCATTTTACCTTCTGCACAATATTCGCAACAAATATACTTAAAATCTGACAACAATTGGTCCGTTAGTTTCGGAGATTATCTGAGAAAACATGAAAGTGGCCAGTCGCCGGATGGATTCGATTACAATATGTATTTTTTTAGCTTACGCTCGGGAAGTAATAAAAATAAAATTATTATACGGGTTGCCTTCGTATTCACATACTACTCTACGAGCTTCCAATTTGGTACCAATTAGATGGTTTCATCTCTAGAGTTAAATAACTTTTTCTATTAGTTAATTAATAGCATAGGAAAAAATATATGGGTATTTGCTGGAGAGCCGGGATAAAGTGAGTTGTCTATAGGCGCCAAATGGTTAAATACGGTCCTGTACCCAAAGGCAACCCTAGTGGTATTCTCGCAATACATATATACTACCTTTCTTAAAAATTTTAGTTTATCAGAAATGAGCATCGTAATTTTGCGGTCGCCGCTTGGACTAAAACACATTGTGATTAAAACAACTTGTAATCAAGTTATTCTCGGAACTAGTTTTAGTAAAAAAATATATATATAAAAAATGTTTGCAATGAATAATTAATCGGCCGTGTATTTATAGTTTTATGCAGATGTGAAACGATTTAGATGTTTAGTGTATAAAATTATCTCGTGTATAGGTATAACATGGTATCCCGTCCAAAGATGAAGAAACGATTACAAATTATTTTGAGCACATGGCAAACTCAACAAACACATAAAATAGTAACGAATATTAAAAAATATATTACACATAAAGTTGCATACCTTTGCTCTTGAAAACTATTCAAATTCCACCAGGCTATTTGATCTCCTACACTTACAAGAATAGATTCAAAATTCGGGGCAAAGAGAAGTCGTTCTACGGATCTCTTATGTAGGGCCATAACATCCTGTGCGTTGTTTTCAAGATTAAAAATCTGAAATTTAAAATACATAATATGTTGGGTTACTACTCCTTCCATTCAATACCCTTATGTCGCCATTTTTACATCCAGCTGCAAGCAATTTTCCTGACGATGAAAAACACAAACATTTGGGTTCACTACATACTCTCGAGTGAAATATTACTTTCATAGTCGCCACATCGTCCAAAACTATGACTCTTAGAACATGTTCTTTTCCTTCTTTACAAACAATGGCCAAAAAATTTTTTTCTTTGTGTACTGTAGCAAGAATTACGTCTTCATATAAACCGCTTACCCAGCCAAAACACTTATCTTCAAAAATTCTTGCAACAGCAAATTTACCATCAACGTCTATGGTAATTAGTAAATTGCGTAAACAAAATATATCCGAAAGTTCTTGTGATATGTCTAGCTCAATCACCGGCTTCTTATCAACCAATATGACAATCTTTTTATTCGAAGCAGCTACAACTCTACCATACATATCGGCACTGTCGTAATAAGAATCCACTCGATCAATATCACTTTCAAAACATTTAATCAAACTGATGCCACCGTCAGAAACTGTAATTTCGCTTATTTTCTTCTTTTTATAATTATAAAAGTAAATTTTTCCGGTCCGCGTCCCCAAAATTAAGTAATTTCCACATAAGGAAAAAGTGCCAAATGTGACTTTATCCACGATTTCTATTACTGACAAAATGGTAGAATGCCCGTGAAAAATATCAATTTTATTTTCTGTATTAACAGTAAAATATATAGGTAACGAATCCTTCCAGTAGCAACTAAAGTGTGATAGATCTTGAATAAGTGGTTTCTCGCTCGATTCTAGATGTAGTTCACATCTTTGCACACGTTCTTTATCTATCAAAATAAATACAACGAGATTTGGTAATATATACAAAGATCTTGGTCCCCTAAAAGAAAAGAAAAACATAAACGTTATAAAAGATATAAGCATACACGACACATGCAATCATAGCATAATAAAAAAAAATACACACCCGTAGTCGTTGTTATATGAGATCACATGTTGTAGTTTGTAATTATAAACATAAATACAACTATCTCCGCCCAAAACCAGATAATCACTATTAACAACAGCAGAAGTGATTTTGGAGTTTGCTTCAAAAGCGAATCGTTTAACTTTATGTCTATACTCCCAAACTTCAAATTTTGTTGCAGTGACGACTGCTACTTCTTTGAGATCAGAGAATGCAGGAATAAGGATTAAATTTGTGATGTCTTCGAGTAAAGCAAATTGTCCATTGTACAACAACTTATCTCTCACATAATTGTAAATTTTTCCGTCATAGGAAAATATTATTTGTTGACTATCATGCACATAAGAAATATGTGAGATTGGTAAACCTAGTGCAGATTCTCTAATAATGGCGGCCGTTTTTATATTCCATCTGGTAATTTTCCCATTTTTTGAAGCTGTTACAATTTCGTCTGAACCATCGTAAGGAAAAGCTGCTGAAATGATATAATCTTTATCTTGCATCTTGAAAGTCTTGTACGATTCTATATTTTCATCAGGCGAATGCAAGTTTTTCCAGTGTATTTGTTTAAGTTTTGGAGACTGTGGATCCAGTTCTTCAGTGAATTTCCACAATTTTGCAGTTCGATCTAAGGAAATCGATAAGAAACTTTTTCCGTCTGGGCTTAATTGCACACTAAATACTTGATCTGTATGACCTTCAAAATGTTGTACTTTTTGTTGATACTGATGAAATGACTGAAAACAAGACATAAGCAAATTGTACGATATCGAAGTAAAAGTTAAAAAAGAAAAGTAACCCTTTCACTTTTTGTTTGAACCTTCTCATTCACTATGTAGTGTTGCTAGGCTTAAGTAAAATGCTTTATCAGTATAAAACTCACCTTAATTTCAATGCTTCCACTGTAAGTACCTACTACAACTTCCTTAGAATTAACGAAGCACGTTGATGTGGCTGTACTTTTAGTCTTAAGACTAGGAAAATTCTTATGTGCATCAGAGTAAGGTCTAAAATTAAATTTTTACTAAACATAAAATTTCATTTTTACACTGTTTACTCCAATTTGAAATAAAGGTGATCAGGATTATTGCTGGCAATATTTCTAGCTTCTTCGTAAACACAGTTGTTGTCATGAAAAAATGCAAATTGTATAATATTTGTCTCTGGTGATATATGTAAATGAGCACTATAAGCATTGACAAATTTTATATAATCGTTTAACTTTCGTTCCAACCGCGGTTCCTACAAATCCAATTTAAAATAGTTCATATAAAATCACAATTTACCTTTTTTGTAATAAGATCTCTGTAAGTATCAAAGTCCGTGAGTAAATCCGCAGATCCACATCTTTTAATTTTATTTTCAATGAACCTTAGATCAAAGAATTTTTCAAACTTGTCATAAAGCTCAGCATGTTTTGCATGATATCCATAATAACCAAAAATATAATTCGCAATTGAATCATCGGGTGGTGCCTTATTAATAACATCTTGGCATTCTGAGATCAGTTTTTTATGGTAGAATTTGATGTCGACATCAGCTCTCTCCACTAAATAAGTACGAACTAGACTGTGTATGCTGTATATGTATGTTTTAAGATCTTTGTTATAAAATGAAACAATCAAAGATTTGTTTTCAAGTTCAACCATGATCTGTCTCACAGCATAGTACTTTTCATCCCACAATTTCATCAAGATCTCTGGTCTAATGTTAACGTGTTTCGGAAAGACAGCCAAACTGTGAAAGTATTTTTGAATCTTTTGATTCAAACAACTAACAAATCTTTTTATCATGTGAATAACTTTCTCAGTTGTTGGGCTATAAAAGATTCAATACATTTAAATTAACTCACGAGTAAAATACTTACTGAGGTAAATAATCATTCTCCACAATTTCATGAATGATTGAATCCCAGATTATGTCAGTTGATAACGCTTCTTCCCTACTATCTTTTAAAATTGATCCAATAATGTTCAACAACATTGGACAACCATCACACAGTTCGTGAATTTTATTCGCAAAAGTTTCTTTAGCGCACAAACTATCAGTCTCTAATGATTTTCTCAGTAATTCTAGAGACTCTTTTTTGGTGAAACCTGTAGTCACCTAAAATTTTCAACATAAGCAACTTCGAAAGCTTTCAGGAATTCCATTACCTTTACGAAAAAAGCCTGAAAATCGTTTGCAACATTTTTATCTTGTGTAGTTACAATAATTTTACATCGTAGTTTGAAAACATCTAACACTTCAGCTGATTTAACATCATCTAAAATAATGTAGGCATTTGCCAATTTTTCGTCCAAAAAGATTTTTTTTACTTCGTTTTGCAAAACTACAATGTCTTCGGGACGATGTGTCAAAGCTACGTGATTGGTTAACTTAACGGCAGTTAAATATAAGCTGAAACACAGAAATTACTACATTTTTTTAAGATTAAATGTGTGTTAAAATTAATGAACATATATTTTATTATTCTAATGAGTAACGTGTTGTTACTTAAGCCCCAAAGTGCTGCTTACAAAAAACAATTATCATAACCAGAAAAAGCAAGTGTCTTGAGTATGGAAAAACCATGAGTATGCAACAGATGTAAATCCAAAGGAGTAGGTCTCCCGTTTCTTGTCTTTCTGTTGGGGATTTTATTAATGTAATTTTCAAAACTACTGTACAGATTACTGCGAAATTTGATGTGTATTATATTCTATAAAATAATATGGTGGTTTATTGATACATCCAAATTTTTAGCCCTATGCATACCGATTTTTAGAAAAAAATTTAAAATAGTAGTAGTAGTGTAATAATTTATAAATCAGTAGGCTACATATAATTTGTGTTATATGTATTGTATACATGATAATATTTTGTCTGTAGGAAAATTTTAATGACGTTGGCTAAGAAAAATGATATAAAGTTTTATTGAAAAATACACTTTGAGAAAGGGTTTTTTTTTATTATTCGGTGCGCTATATATCGTTTATCCCCACAACACCGCAAACATACAAAATTTTGGCAGACGCGTTTCACCAACCACGCTGGCATTATCTACACAATGCTAAACGCCTTGAGATGCGATATTATTTACAATTGCTTACAAGAGGTATTTCAAAAGTACTCATTCCATGAATTGAATAAGTTACATATTAAATTAAGATGTTTATTCCCACCAAAAATACCGTCACTTCAAGGAACTATGTAAAATAAAAATATCCCTTAAAAATATGCTGCAGTGTAGTATGTATTTGGGACAGAAGGGAAATCAACGTAACTTTGAAGATTTTAGTTAGGGATGTACCGACTAGTGGCCGACCAGTCGGATAAGCCGACTATTCGGCCGTTTTTCATCGTCGGCTGCAGTCGGAGACTGGTCGGCTAAACAGCCGATCGGTCGGCTTTTTTTTATTAAAATTAAAATAATATATAAAACAATTATAAATTGTGTTATTCTTTATTTTTGTACCGAGTTACTAAAAAAAATTAAATGTTAAAATTATCTAAACAAATTTAACACATTTTTTGGAAAACAAAGGAACTTTAGTTATTCCTTTTGTTAAAATGAACAATTTTTTAAGGTAGTCAGAGAAATATAAAAAAAAACACACTGTCTGTCGCATTTATGAACTGATTTTAGCAAAGCCGAACAGTCGGCCGACTAGTCGGTTTTTATTGGCCGAACAATCGGCTAGTCGGTTAGTCGGCCAGACCTACAGTCGGTACATCTCTAATTTTTGTTTTGTAAATATGCCTGTACTACTTTATTCAAAAAATATTAGGCACTGTCATTCTATCATTTATGACAAATCATATGTGATTCAAGCTTTACTGACATTTTGACAAATATTAGCACTTTTCAAAAATCTATTTTGTCAAACGATGTCTTTGATATTATTAATATCCGACAGATATGACACTACTGTCAGTGAATTAAGATCTAAAAATCTAAATAAAACACATTTTACAAGTTATGACATTAGTAAATGACAACTACCCAATATTTTTTGAATAAAACTGTACATAAATAAATATATGACGTATTAAAAACAGAACTACTGAGCCTTAAGCTGCTTATGGGAAGTGTTTGAAAGTTGCTTGGATTAAACAATTTCAGATAACAGGAGGTTGTAATTAATATACATAACCTTATTCTGTTTTTTTTTTAAGTACACGTTAGCTTCATGTGTTTTAATAATATAAGCTTTTTTTGTAACATATGCACTAAAAAGATGCATAAAACCATGAACAAATAAAACTTAATAACATCACTGACATAATTAAACAACAGCATGTCAAACAAAGCACAATTGTAAAGCCTCCTATGGAGAACCATGGCCGACTAGTATAAAGATTATGGCCTGTCCAAGAGGTACCATACGTGTTGCCATCTATTAATAATTACACTCAATAATTTAGCAAAATTTTAATTTGACTTGACATTATGGGACTTCAAAACGTGTAATGGTGGTTTGTTTCGGTATGAATGCCTTTGTGCCTTTCAAAAAGTGTTAATAATTCTTTTGTCGTTTTTGAATTATTAATAGATGGCAGCACGTATGGTACCTTTGGCATTCCTTTGGACAGGCCATAATCTTTATACTAGTCGGCCATGGGAGAACAATGTTTTAAAAACAAATGCTGCCACCTTTTTGTATATCATTAATTCATTACTGTTAAAATTTTTACAATTACTGTACATTAAATTTTAAACTTAACACCAAACCTACCTCCACAAAGGATTTATTACTGCTGTGGTATCAGAATGTTCGCCCAAATTAATCCAAAACATAGCACCTCCAGATGTCTCCAGAAAACGTTTCGTTTGTAAAACTTGATTAACTAAGCACGATTTACCAAAACCTGGTAATCCGTGAACTACCAAAGTACTGCAAAACTTTGGGTCTAGTTCTAACGCCTTTTCTTTTATTCTATCTGCCTAGAATTACAAAAGATTAAGATTTAGAAAATAAAATTTGATTTGGGAGAAATACCAACTTAGTCCATTCCTCAATTAATGACAGCATATTTTGTTGAGAATGTTAGTTAATGTTAATTTAATAACAAGAAAATACTTACGACTGAATTTCTTACGACATAATTTAATGAAAATTCAGGAAAGCCACCAATAACAATCATTTGACAAATTTTATCAATACTATCTTTTATTGAATCCGATATATTTTTCATGTGGGAAACAGTCCCCAACATGCCAATAAACTTGGCACAGCGTTTGCCATCCTTGACTATAAGATCTAATAAACAATTAATTTGATCCTAAAAACAAACACCAGTGTAAAATAAACATAAACAATGCAGTTTTACATTTTGATGGGTCCATATTTCAGCATATAATTTCTCATCTATAAGCTTTTCACTAATTAAATCATCGACTATATCATTTAGAGCTAATCCAGTTTCTAACTCTTTTCGAAACTCTTGCACCACATTGATATAGATTGCCATTGGGGAAACTAGAAACAATATATGAACTTTTATTTTATTCTACAGGCATTTATAAACTTACCATAAATGAAAACGTAACTACGAATAAACTAAATTGGAAATACGTTGGAAATAAGTCATTCTGGTGATTAAACTGGCAGTATAAAAAAGATTCCTGAATAAGATCACTCGTTTATGAAAGTCGAAGAACACAACACAAAGACAAAACCACCTCCCGACAGAACACCCTAAGAATAGGAATACCTGTCAAAACCTGTATGATTTCGTTCCTTGCATCGTGCTATCATCTTCTAACATCTAGTGCACGCCGGATTTCGAATGACATTGGTCAGCTGTTGGTAGGTCATTGACCACAATTCGACAAACCATTAGAAGAAAAAATGTTCAAATGTATAGTGAGACCTTGAATTTATTTATTTATTAGTCGTTAACTTCTCCTGTATAGGCGAAACTTCAGTTAACAAAAGCGACCTTGAAGGTACGACAACCAATTAGAACGGTTGTAAAAATTGAAACGACAAATGCGCTTCGTCTACGGAAGTTTTAGACCTGCAGCTGGACGGACTTAGAACCACCCTAAACTTTGTTACGAGGTTTAAACAAACATCAAGGAACTATTTTAAGCAGAGGGTTTGAGATTTAAATTTAATTGTCTTCAATTATTATTTTCAAGAAAGTGTGCTGGAATGAAAATGGATCGAATTTTTGCGTGTTTACACTGAGAAAAAGAATATATTCTTTTATAATACTTTCTACCACTGTTTCTAGGAATGTGGCAGACAGCCTTGAGACATCTTAGTTCATTGCTACCTACCCTTAAGATTTTTTTTATTAATAAATTATCGAGTATTAACTGAAAAAAAAAGGTTGGGGACATTATTTATGTTGCGATCTGGCCCACATGCCTAAAGTTCGAAACTTTAGGCAAGTGAAAGGATTATTGACCCTTTTCCTGTAAGATCGTAAAACTTCCATAGTGACTTTTCGTGCGCACGCATCTTCAAAACCACGTTGGAAATTGTATCCGGCACTCCGGCAGCAGAGCAAAGGCCTGTGACAACAAACCGCTTTGACAGAATGCAACCGGCTACACACGCGTAATCTGTCGCTCATTGCTTAATTTAAACTTGGCGCTCCAAAAATCCGACTTCGCCTGCGCGATGTTGTCTCACTCTGTGTCATTGGAATTTATACAATGTCTACTCACTTTGCTTACAGGAAAAGGGTCAATTGTCCACAGTTATTGTCAAAGGCGACGCACAATGGAAAAACGGAAAAAATATGTTGGTAACGGAATAGCAGTAATTTCACCTTTCTTAGGTTGTCAGCCCATCAATTGTCAATGCTATGTCACAGGCTATGTGTTGTCATCAATATTAACATTTGAATTTTAAAACTTCAGAAACAAGAATTATTTCTTCCCCAACAGTTTGAGTCATATTTGGGTTAACCACCGTAGGATCGTTGTAGTAGTCTACTTTCAAAAATTAAAGTGTTTCTAAAATTATTTCGTTCATTATTATTTAAAAATAAAAATTAATCAAAGCTCTTTAAGAAACGTAAAATGGGTTGCCTATGCAGAAATATTCAGGCGTGAACAGATAAAATAGCAAACACCCTGTATATGTTGTGGTGACCGATTTGAATCAAATTTTCGCGCTGAAATTAATTAACAGAGGCGCGAAATCACATTTGAATAATTTGAATTTGAAAGAAAAAAAATTTCAAATCAAAAATCGTTCGACATAGGCAATCAGGTGCACAGTAACGCTTGTTGGATAGTTGGACAGTTGGTAGCGCCTGTGGTAGCGCTAGGGGATTTTAGTTAGAGGGTTGGTTGGTAGACAGAGGGCAGCATGCCGAAGCGTCAGTCTGGATGTGTTTTTGTGAGTGTAATCACGTGGTAAGGTAGTTTTGGTTGGTTTAGTTGGTTTCGTAGTCAATAAAAGGGAGGAAGCCTTTGTTTAACGACAATCAATCGTAACTCCGATGATGACACAGTTTTCCCCCAACACGAGTAGCTAATTCTTGCTGCCTTTTAATCGAAAAAGTGCGGACTTCGTTCGTGAACCATGTGATCTAAATTTGAAATTGTTTTATTGTTTGTAAATTCACCAATCAAGTTAGTTTTTTTTAATCGTCAGCTAGTGCTAATACAATTTAATAATCAGGATTATTTAAATAAACCACTTACTAGGAGATTTCATCAAATTCATTTAGTCAGGATAATAATTCTTTGTTTTATAAATAAGCTTCTGGATGGATATACGTAAGTGTTACATTATAACACTTCATAATTCTTCACACAAGATTGCTAATAGTTCATTTACGGCACTTAAACTAACTAATTAATACCGCGAACTCACGGGGGGTTAAAATAATTTCTTCCTTTAGGCGGTTATCATCGTTATCTTGATTACATCACTGAAGCATGTCCTCACAACGCTAAAGATTTATTACTTCATCGAGGCATGTCCTCGCAACGCTAAAGATTGATTACATCACCGGAGCATGCCCTCGCAACGTTAGAGATTTAGAACATCGAGGCGTTTCCTACGCAACGTTAAAAATTACATTATCGGGGCATTTCCTCGCAACGATGACTGGATATTTTTGTGTTTATTTATTACTAGCAGCTGACCCCGTGAACTTCGTTTCACCTACAACTTAATTTTGAATCTCCAAACCGAATGCTTTGAAATCTTGCAGATGTTTTAAACATCTGATAAGCATAATAAATTTGTATTCAAAATAATACTTACTTCCTCCAAAAAATTGATGACGTCAGCCCAAAATTTTGCCAAATGATTCCTTTTTAAAATATCCAAAATAGGATGAGACTATACTTGTGATTTATCACTCCATTCATATTTTTTAGTTTTGCTTATAGGGGGTGTCTCAAAAAAAAAATAATCAGAGTCAGTTTATTTTATTGATTGAATCAAGAATTGCAAAACTAAATTTTTAGATTTATTGCAGACGTTTTGAAGTTACTGTTTGACATGGTACGTTTTTAATTAAAATATATCTGTTTATCAAGCTCAAAAACTTGATGAAGTCATCTCAAGATTTTGCCGAATAAATCCTATCTAAAATGTGCAAAATATCATCAGTATATTTTCGTAAATTTATCATTGCATTCATATTTTTTAGATTTGCTTTTACAGTGACAAAAAAATGTATGGATCAGTCAATTTATTTTAGAAAATAACTCAAGAGTTGCAGAAATGACATAATTAATATAGTTCATAATGTTTAAATATGATAACTATTAATATGTGATAATTAAACCGAAAACCATTTTCCTAAGAACACGAGGTTAGCAAAAACAAATTAGTTTGTTTAAACATTGTTAAATTAACCCCGAACATGTACAATTTCTGAGCGAAAATATGAAAAATAATTTTTGCAATCTCATCGTGACGTACGATGACGCCACTGTCACGTGAGCCACCTGATAGAAGGTCACATTTTTCGGTCCTCTGCGTTTAGTTTTGATTTCGGTTTGGTGGTAGCAACATCAGAGTCCGTTTTGGCTTAAAAGTAGGGCTCTTTTCACGAATTTCTAATATATATATTTAAATATTAGTGAAAATGTGTTGTATTAGTACTGAGAACACGAACGAAAATGGATATTTTTTCGAAAAGGACCGAAAACAGGGTAAGTTCGAGTTCAGTTTTAATTTATCGGATTCCGTGATTCGTTCACTCGACAATATTTAAATTTTGGGAAAATTTTCGAAACGATTGAAATCGGTTGATCAAAGCTATACATTTTCACGACGTAAATAAATAAATTTTAAACATAATTAATATCATTTATAATGTTTAAATAATTAAATATGATAAGCATCAATGTATGATAATTAAACCGAAACCCGTTGTCCTACAAGCCCGAAATTATTAAAAACAAATCAATTTGTTTAAACAATGTTAAATTATCCCCGAAAATGTGCATTTTGCCGGCCAAAATATGAAAAATAAATTTTGCAATCTCATCGTGACGTACGATGACGTCAATGTCACCTGAGCTACTTGTATAAAGGTCACGTGTTTCGGTCCTTTGTGTTCAGTTTTAATTTCTGTTTGATGGCGGCAAGATCGTCGCTTCATTTCGGCGTAAAAGTGGAACGTTTTAGCGAATTTCTAGTTTATTATTAACACATATTACGGAAAATATGTTGTGTTAGTGCTGTGAACACGAACGAAAATGGATATTTTTCCGAAAAGGACCGAAAACAGGGTAAGTACGACTTCAGTTTTAATTTATCGGATTCCGTGATTCGTTTGGTCGACAATGTTTACATTTTGGATAAATTTTCGAAACGATTGAAGTTGGTGGGTCAAAGCTATACATTTTCGCGATATAATTAAATAAAATTTAAACATAATTAATACAATTCATAATGTTCAAATATGATAACTATCAATATATGATAATTAAACCGAAATCCATTTTCCTAAGAACACGAGGTTAGTAAAAACAAATTAGTTTGTTTAAACGTTGTTAAATTAACCCCGAAAATGTACAATTTCTGATCTAAAATATGAAAAATAATGTTTGCAATCTCATCGTGACGTACGATGATGTCACTGTCACGTGAGCTACCTGATAAAAGGTCACATTTTCGATCCTTTCTGTTCAGTTTTGATTCCGTTCTGGTAGCAGCAACATTGGAGCTTCGTTTTGGGTTAAAAGTAGCACGTGTTCGCGAATTTCTAATTTATTGTTGATAAATATTAGCGAAAATGTTTTGTGTTAAGTGCTGTGAACACGAAGGAAAGTGGATATTTTTCCAAAAATGCCCAATTTTTTTTTAAATATGTTGTTAATAACATGCATTCAGGACTGATAAAGTACGCCTTTAGAATATACAAAGTACTGCGTTCATAATTTACAAAATACCGTAAACATCATTTTTAAAGTACGGCGTCCAAATTTACAAAATACGGTGTCCTTCACCCATGCTATCAAACCTTATTAGTCCTCTCTTTTAATGGCAAGACGCACTCCAGACCTCCTCGTATTGTTTGGTTCTTGCTGGGCAACAGCAACGAGCGAGCAAAGTCATCGCTCTTTGGTGGCAAACGTGTAGAAATTTGTATATTGTAACTTTTGTAATTGAAGCATTTTTGTCGTGCCCAAATAGTTTTGACCGCGGCCGAGCTTTTGGACACTAACAAAATTATTTATTTGGGTGTAGGCCCATTTCCTTGGAAATGGAAGAGCTAAACTGCATGTAGGGGAAGAGGTAATAATTAAACATATATAACATTTTTATACGTATATTAAAAGAAAGCATAATAAGCATGTCAAAAGAATAATCGAGTAAATGTGTAAATAATCAACAGAAAAATAAAACATAAAATAAATTCACACACATAACACGAAAAAACAAAACAACATGCAAAACATTCTTCTAAAGCGCTACGCAATTATATTCCACTAATAAAACTCTTAAAATCTATGAACATAACCCAC